GATACCGTCATGGAGCCCTACTCTAACCTCGAGAACTCATCAAAATTTCAATTTTTTAATGCTCTATGGGATAAATCTTGTTAGAAAAATTCCAAGAGAACTTTGTCCACTCTATTAGCAATTGACCCTGGTGGTATGGTCTCAAAGAAAGAGCGCATCCACTGCCTGGCCAGCCAATCTAATGTATAAGTTGTGAACTTCCCTCCCCTCTACTCTACAAACCCAAAATCCTGCAATATACTCCACTAACCCCAGAGTCTGATGTCGCTCTCGGCATTTAGTAAAGAACTCTTGTGCATCCTCTTCAACTGCACAAGCAAACATCCATGGTTATAGTCTCAAAAACACCCATGCATCTTTTGTTCCCTTAGTCGACTAACTTTGTTTAAAACATCCAGCTGAACTGCAGCATGGGGTGACGACTGCTGAACTTCTAGGACCACTGAGTAAGCTTCAAAATTTGTATTGGGGCTTAATGTTGTTCATTTCCACCAATAGTCGCTAATATACACATATGCATTATCTATACATCATAGGAGGTAGTTGGTGTTGGTGGTGGTTAGCCTAGTCCAGGCTCCACCAGCTAGGAAGGAATCTGGTCTAACTATGGCTCTGCCTATGGATTTCGGGTACTCCTTCCCTCGAGTTGGTATTACAGCCCGGCCTCGGGGTCGGCCTCTATTTCCTGTGCGAGCCATTGTGTGATACAATGAAACAAGTAGTAATCGATAAATTTTACTATAAAAGAATGTGCTAGAAATATACAAAATAAGAGAACTCCCTAAGGACCTCTTGTAGCCTCCTGAAGAAGATTCACAGACATCTTCATGCTGATCTTTATGACTTTACTAGAGGTTAGCTCTGGACTAGTGAAACTGAGGAACCTACTTAAAGCTCAATCCAATAGAAACTAAGTCTCATCCTACTTAAAGGTTGACTGTGCGTGCTCCAAGTTACTCTGCCAGAGCTTTTCCTTTCTGAACAACCTTGGAATTTTGTCATAATATTAAAAATTCAACCATGTACGATCATTTACTGAAATCATTAAAATTAGAGATAGACTATTTTTAGTGTAGATCAGGAAATGTGGGACTAGAACGATAATTTTTGGAATTGACTCCAGAAGAGGACCAAAACACTCCCTGTGCTCCAAATGGAGAGCATCTCGGGGCATGGAAAACTCCTTGCAACAACAAACCATAATGCAAGATTTTAAACAAAATAGACTTAGGAGAACCACTTAGAATGCTGATACACCACAATCAGAGACTTTATTACACACTCAAGATGATACACATACAACCAACTCAAACTCCAATTCATCGGACATTGAATTACCAATAATGGAGCTCGAGAATCCATATATTAACGTTTCAAAATAATAAAGAATCTGATTTTAACTATTTGAATAACAATAGTTCTGGACTCTAAGTGCTAAATCTAGTCGCAAAAAGATTAAATTCTCGTCGCTAAAGATCTGCACCAGTAACACAAGAATTTTTTATTTTTTCTAAAAGTCTCTAATAGACAATTATAATTCATTCGAGACTCGATAAAAATAAACCACATATTCTACCTCATTCAATGTCATTGTTGAAATTTCAATGCGAGGTCATTTCGAAAAAATTGGCCCCACACCCAAATTTTTGCCAATCTCCAAAATGGGCGTCAAAATAAGACCACAAGTTTCAAAAATCTCACCAAAGGTCATTCTAAACAAAAATCAACATTCCGAAACTAACTTCCTTGACAAAATTATCATACAATTATGTTTACCAAGAATGTTAATCAAAGTAAAACTTAAGTCATAATTCAAAGGCTTATGTGCTAGATGTCCCCAAAGTCAGACTGTATGCCTTAGGACTCGTGCCAACTATGCTAACAACCTATTTTTGCTGTTGTGGATCTTGTGCAACTTTCAGATTACCATTTGATGTTGTTTACTTGAGGTTATGACTGAAATCAACTTTTCAAGTTTCAAAAGCTCCAACAAGATAACGGGTATAAAACCCAAATGAACGACTCGACGATCAAATAGTCAATCCTGGTAAGTCATAAATTACTTGTGGTCGCTAGGGGAAAGCTCTTAATTATGGAATTATGACATAAACATAGAAATTACCTGGAGGGTCATTATGCCATAGAACAAGAAGCAACACATCGAGCAAAAAATCGACAACACATAATATCCCTAATGATGTTATTTATTAAAGGTGTTCAAATTCTCCTTCAATATAGCAGCACAAACCTTGTTCCAAAAATGCAAATAAAATCTATCAGAACTTGGGTGGAGTTTGTCAATGTATTCTTAGTGGTTTCCCTCTAAGTGACCATTGCAACTGTAAACGAAGTGATCATTAATATGGACACAAACATAGAACTATTGACTAAGATTGGGCACAGTGTTTAAGAGTAAAAAAAATTTCAAAACTTCTCGCATATAGTAAGCTATGGCTATAAAGTAAAACAAGAAATTTGAAGTTAAATTGTTACTAGGTGTTGAAATATGTCCCTTTTTATGGAATGAATAAAAAGAAAAGGCTATCGCATATACTGTTATAGAGGTTAAATCCTAATAGCAACTATTTTATATTTCAGGTCTACCAATAGTAAAATGGAAAAACCAATGATGTTATATCTCTGGCATTCCATTTGCCTTGCTTTAAGTTCTCACTAGCATTTTACTTTTAGATTTTTATTGAGAAACAGTACTCCTCTAACCAGCTTAATCAAGAGTCTAGGGAGGGAAAATCGACATAGCTCTACTAAAGAATGTGCTAGATATATTTGTTGAAATTGGATTGGGGTCAATGGATTATTATGAGAACGATTTTGAAGATGCAATACTCGAGGACAAAACAACTTATTATGCCTGCAAAGATTCGAACTGCACATGAATCTTTAAGGATACAATCAGAAGCTTTTAAAGAATAATAAGACGCAGTGTCCTCGACCATTGTAACTTCAAAATTGTTCTCATAATAATCCATTGACCACACTCAAATTTTAACAATTATATCTAGTACATTCTTCATTAGAGCTCTGTCAATTTTCTCTTTCTCATGCTCTTGATCAATCTTGTTAGAGAAGTATTGTTGCTTGATAAAAATTTAAAAAGAAATGTCTTCGACATCTCAAAGCCAAAGAAAACAGATACCAAAGATATAGCAAATGAGTAGTTCTGCATTATTCACCTGAAGAGACACTTGAATATTCTTTTAAAAATTCATCTCCTCAAAAACATAATTGTTCCGATCTAACTAATGAGTAGTTCTGCATTATTTTAAGTCAGACGATAACTTATTATTCAAGTTTAATGAAATATGCTCACCATTCCAATAGGTTTAAGATTTCGTGTTTTTATTTTAAAAAAATTATTATATCTTAATGTTCAAGAAAAAATTGTTTGTACTAATGGAATATACGTGCAAAGCACGTGTTCTGATAATAATGCATATAAAAATAGATATTACAATCTATAAATAATTTCACACTTTTAGTGTAATTTAAAATCGTTACAATTTGATTGACATGTAGTTGAATGCAAATTAAATTCGTTTTATCCTCCTACATTGAAATTTATTGGAGAAAATTTCACATCAAAATAATGAGTTTATTGTTAATATATGGAAAAATAATTGAATGAATCTCTAGCTTATTATCTTGTAGTTTGAAAGTGTACGAAAGTACTTTACTATAATTATAATAGGTTATGTTCTTGCACATAAACCAAGATATTAAATACATGTCATTCATATAAATTTGATTTATAAAATTTAATTAATTGGTAATACTAAAATATACTAAAATAGTATTCTTCTTATTGCAAGGAGGTCGAAAGCTTGTAGTTTCCCTACACACCTACCTTAAAAAATAAACATCCTCAATTAAAAATAAATTTGATTGAAATCAAGCTGAAAACAAATATCCTTTTATTAAAAAGAAACTACACTCAAATAAAGATGAAACACACACATCCATTAATTAAACACAAAATAGTCTTAAATGAAGTTACAAAAACACAGATCCATCATTTAAAAACAAACCAGACTCTAATCAAGTTGAAAAATAGAGATCAAATAAGTAAAAAGAAATTAGACTCAACTTAAGTTGAAAACTACATATCCATGAATTAAAAAGAAACTAGAGTCAAATCAAGCTGAAAAACAAAGATCCGTCTATTAAAATGAACGTAGACTCAAATCAGGTCGAAAAACATAAATGTATCTATTAAAAGAAACTACGCTCAAATCTAGCTGGAAAAAAATAAATATCCAACAATCAAAAGAAACTATATTTAAATAAAACTGAAAAGTACACTTCCATTGATTAAAAAAACGTAGACTCATATCAAGTTGAAAAAATATAGATCCATCAATTCAAAAGAATTTAAACTTAAATCGAACTGAAAAACACAGAACCGTCAAGTAAAAGAAAACTAACCACAAATCAAGGTGAATAACACATATCCATCAATTAAAATAAAATTAGACTCAAATAAAGCTGAGAAACACATATTCATTACTTTACTTAATAAGAAACTAGACTAAAATCAAGATGAAAAATTAAAAATACATCAATAAAATAAAAGACACTCAATTAAAGCTATAACAAAACCTAGATCGATCAATAAAAAAACAAGTCTAAAATCAAACTGAAAAACAGAATCCATCAATAAAAAAGATAGTAGACTTAATATAGGCTTAAAAATACATATCCATCAATTAAAAAGAAAATAGACTTGAATCAAATTGAAAAACACGGATCCATCTATTAAAAACAAACTAGACTCATATCAAACAATGAATGAATAGAAACACTAACATTTAGCCAACCAATAGGCACCCAGGATGACAATCCTTGGTTCACTGATAGAGATGCACAATAATTTGATCAAAGGAACTAATCATATAGATAGGAAAAAGGAATGAACAGATGCATCTTTCAATCTCACGTTACAAATAAAAAAGAAGTTATGAAGAGAAGGACACAAATATTACTTCTACAAGACGAGAAGCAACGATGAACACCAAAGAGGGACATGAGTGTTGATCATCCAAAGAAGAACATGAACTAGACTTTTATTATGGAATCTCATCACTATCGACTTATTCAGTAGAGAGAGGATGTTGAGAAATAAAATTATGAACCTTCTATTGCAAACCCTAGTAATATATTAGTTGATATAACAAAAGGCCTCTTTTTTTGACTGGGCCATTTATCTTGGCCTTTTTTATTGTGTGTTTGTGGAAATATATGGAAAACCATAGTGTGGAATACATAGTTATACCTAATTAGCTTTAAAAATAGAAAAAGTTATGTTGTGAATATAAATCTTAAATATTAAACTAGTCAAGATCATACTTTTTCAACAATACAACTAGTCTACATGTTAATTTTTTTTTATTAAAAACCTTTATTTTTATAAAAAAGTTTGTAGGCATAAAATTTGTCAACAACGCCAAATTATAAGAATTTATATTAGTACCCAAGATACAAATTAGTTTTTTCAATTCACCTATACATTTGAAGTGTTACACACGATTTTGTCATAGTAAAAATAATTTATTATCAAATTTTTTTATTGTCATTACCAAGCAGGACATAGTGTATACCAACATGTGTACATTATTCGACTTGAAAAATGCTATTAAAAGCTTGTTGGAATTGACCAATTCCATGTGAACAATAATTAAGCATAGTCGAAATTAAAAGTTTGGATTGATGTGATTAAATTTGTAATAAGATGTTGACGTATTAGGCCAAGAACATAGAAGTTGGTGTAATGCTAAATGACTAAAATACCTTATACATTTGTTCAAAAATTTATAGGAAAAATGCATAAGTAATCTCTCAACTTTTTCTTTAAATCTCAAAGACACACTTATAGTATACTAAGGTCCTATCACCTCGACCTTATTTTACAAATAACATTTTCGTCCTATGTAGCACTAGTTAAAAAAAACATGTGTTGGGCCCCAAAAGATAGCGCAACATAGGCTGAAAGGGCTAGAAAATTGTTTATTAAATACATTCAGAGGGTAATAGGACCTTAGTATAGTATAAGTGTGTCTCTAGAATTTCGGGTATAGGTTGAGGTGGTACTTATGCATTTTCCCAAATTAACGTCAATATTAATATTTTTTAAGTGAAAAGGGGAACGACCAATACTAATTAGTAAAGTAAAAGTTGGTAACTAAAATATCCAATTGAACATTAAATAATAATTGCTTATCATCCTAAAAATTTAAACTTCACCAACTAAATGTTACCACCTCATTGTTTTCCTTCATGTATAAACAATTTATGGCCTTGTGAACGTTGTCAAACTATTTATTTTACTTCATTTATCGATTAAATCGGATAATTAGTCTATATAAAATTCTACTCATTAAGTAATCTTTTATAAAGACATCAAGAATATATCAAATTCTCACCATTGAATAGAAAAACTCACGAGGTATACATTGAATCTCTTTACAAATTCCATGTAAATTTAATCCAATCATATTTTTATTTCCTCTAATTTTATGTTGAATAATATTTTACTCCTATAAAAAAAATTGAGATCATATATTGTAAAATTATACAATTTTCTACAAGAACCTCGAATTGTAGAATTGTCTGCTATGAAAAAAATTCTCAGAACACTATAAAACCCTCATTCATCAATGAAGAAAAGAACATTTGCAAGAAAAATCCAAATAGTTTAAATAAATTTTGTAACATTTTGGGATAAGGCACAAGTACCCCCTTAGACTATATATGGAATTTTTCGATCACATCTTAACTACACTAAGATCCTATTACATCCCAAATCAATTTTTGAAATTTTGTCTCTTTTTTTTGCCAATGTGACATCCAAACATCTCCCACGCGACCCAACTTCATGGACTCACAAATTGATTAAGTAAGTCAAAAGGTGTTTAAAAGTATAAAATAAACTAGGTAAATTACCTGTACATCACACGAGATTGAACTATTTTATTAAGCCTACATATAATCATTCTATAATATTCCAATCGATACATGCATTACATTGTACAAAACATTTTATTATAAGACACAACGTTCCTCTTAAATCTTAAAATGCTTTACTTTTTTTTAATTTTATTTTTGATATAAAAAATTATTTGTCATAGATGGATTTTAAGTATAAAAAAAAAGTTTTAGAAAATTTCCCTTAAAATAGTTGGTCAGATGTAATAAATAAATTTTAGTTTCCAAAAAAATATAATGAACAATATCATATGTTAAAAAAATAAATAAAAAAACGTTGAACAACAATACTCCCAAGTATAGTGGAACATCGTGTTCATACAAAATTTTAATTAATAAAATTAAATGGACCAACTTGGACTCCTTTCTTATGAACCTCAATCAACCTCTTTTTATTATTCTATGCCATATCAAGTATATGCTAAAAATGACCCGAAAAATATAATTATCATAAATATTTTTTTGTCATTGTCTCATAATAGTCATCACTATTTTTAAGGTTTCATTCACCGTCCCTAAATTATTTGAATTAAATCATAGTTATTATTATGGTCATAGTATAATGTTTTAAAAAAACCAATGCAATTATTAACCAAGGAATAGGTGACATCTGAATGTTCAAAACGTCATATACTAAACAAAATTTTTGACATATATCATATTAAAATCTAACAGCATAATTTTGTGAGCGCTGGAATTCACAAAAACCCAATAATAATAATAAAGACGACCATACTTTCCTGACAATAAAAATGGCATTTTTCTTAATATAATTTTCAAAAAGGTAGTCTTTACAGTTTTTTTCAAGTTTAGAGTTCACAAAATTAATTGAAAGAAGCCAAAAGAAAAAGTTAACATCTTTATCAAAAAAACTTATAACTTTATCACAAGAATGAGTTACCAGTATTGAAAAAATGATCTCTAACGTCAATAGCTTAATTATCACTAAATATATATTTTCAAAGTCAATTGATACTTTGTATAAATGTCCCTAAAGTCTTTAGCAACATAGAATCCAATGACAATTAATTTGTATCGGTAAAGGCTGTAGGACCCTTTCTAAACGTGCATATTAATTGTCGATAAGAAATTATTTTTAGCATAGTGTATTTTATGCATTTGTAGTTGCACAAAAAGATGATCTCTTATATGCCCAAAAAGATGAGAAGAAGAAATTTGACAAAGTAGTTTACTTGCTCTATACTATGTGGACTAATTGTCTCTTTACAAATATTCTAGGAATAGGTGCAATGGCATAGAGTGTTTTTACCAACAAAACTAATAAAAATAATATACTAATTGTGGCATACAAGAAAGCAATCATTTTGGTTCTTTTAACAACTTCATCATTGATTCCATATTAGTCATCAAATAATGAACAACCCACAAGTGATTTTTCCAAAAACTATATGAAGAAAACCTGTAGAGAGGGTTAAAAGAGAAGATAATTTTTTAATAATCCTCACTGGAATTTTGAACATAATTCAAAAAAAGTCACAAATATTTCAAATAGAAGTTGGAATTGACACATGAATCACAATGATTTTTAGTAAAAAATTAAATTTTAAGAAATAGTAGGAAGAAAAAATTAAGAAATAAAACACACATTATAAGAAGCTTAATTAATTTATTTGAATTCGAAAATACATACAAATAATAATGAGATAATTCAAAGATTTGTTTACTAAAGAACCAAATGTAATGATTTTATAGCACCTTCTCAGTGCAATACTAATAATTTCTTATGCACTGTAATTTTCAAATATTGATGTTATTGTAAAAATGTTATATAAGTATTTGTAAAAGTTTAAAAAAACACTATTACTTCAATATAGATTATATAGAAATAGTTGTATAGTCAATACTATTCCATGTATAATTTGCTATGAGGAAAATGTTGTCTAATGGTTGTTTTAACAGTCTACTTTATTTAAGACTTGCAAATTTGGTAACAAATTTTCACTTTTATATTCACTTGTTTTAAACTATTTTATCTATACACACGCAACCTACACTTCCCTTTATTTTGTATGTTTATTGTACTGTTTTAGTATTCGATTAAGTAACTTTTTACATCTAGACTTGTCATTAGTTTGACACTTCCATTAAATTTTAGAGGCTATTGGACTAATGAAACTAAATTATGAAGTCATATTTTAGCTTTTCCACATTTCGTTTCGTGAAAAACATAGGGATTGTTTGATAGAGTGTATTTGAAAATAATGCATGTATTAGCATTGTGTATTACTAATACTTTCTATGGTACTCTTTTTCAACCAATGTATAACTAATGTTTATACATACAATCTATTATTTATTAAAGTGTGCATTACTAATGTCATGGATCTACGTATTAGAGGTTACACCTCGAGCCTACCCCTTGACGTAAAATAGGACCTAAAATTACAAGTGACCCCAAGCAAACCCTGAGTAATAAGAATTAGGTTAGCAGTATAAACAAGAAAAAAATGCGGAAGAGAATTATAATGATTAAGGAAGAAAATTGAAAGATGTGTGAAATTCCAGAATAAAATTTCTAATTTCAAGATTATGTGCTAAGAACCCTAATTGATATCAATATTCAAAGGTAGCGGATTAACACTAATTATGATAATAATAATAAAGTCAATTCAAGAACTTAGATCAAAAGTGATCTAGACCCCTATTCTGAAGAAATTAGAGAAAATACTTAGTATAAGACTAATAACCTTCCCTAATTTACGAATTGAAACAAAAGTTATCAAATAAATAATAAATCTTATCTCTCAAAGAATCGTTCATATAATGTTGTAAGATATATCCATAGTCACCACACACAAAGGTGTAAAGAAGAGAAATCTCTCAAATAATAGAAACCATCACTCCAAAATTCTAAAATCAACCCCTATATATAGGGATAACCTATCCTAAATAGAATATGATTTACATCCTACATTTATGGAAACTTTAAACTAGGAATACTTTAAGCTAGAAAACATTAAGATAGAAAACAAGAAAAGCTTACAGTAGGAAACTTTTTTAACTAGGAAAACATTAAAATACGGTTTTTAAACAAGGAAATTTTTTATACTAGGAACACTTTAAAATAAGGTTTTTAAACTAGTAAACATTAACTATACTTTGACTTCAACTATTCAGCTTTTTGGGCTCCTTTAGTGGGTTTTTTTGACCCAATCTTCTTCTGTTTTTGCTTGAATTTTAATATCTCTTTTGTGATAAACATATTCTTGATATTAAATTGA